CACGTCTTTCGAAAGATTATACCCTGCAGAGGTGTCCCAACTTAGCCCATGATAAGCTCTCGCGATCAACGAAGGATATACCTTCTCCCAGGAAGACCCGATCAGACTCAAAATCCCGGTTTACAAGACATTTTGACAATGGTAAAACAAGACCAGCAAAGCCGCCCGATGCGCCGACAATCCCGATAGGAGCTACACATATCTCGTTCTCGGGGCAACACCGGATAAGTCAAGCTACGAGTAAAACCAGACCTCGAGTTTCCCCGAGGGAGCCCCGCGGGCTGCTCGGTTCGGACCAACACTTAGACAAGCACTGGCCCGGGGGGGCTAAAATAAAGATGACCCTTGGGTTAATTACTCCCAAGGGAAATATAGGTGGTGCTGAGGCAAATGGTAAAACCAATGTTGGGCCTTGCTGGAAGAGTTTTATTCAAAGCGAACTGTCAAGGGGGTCCCATAAATCACCCAACCGCGTAAGGAACACAAAATCCGGGAATATAACACCGGTATGACGGAAACTAGGGCGGCAAGAGTGGAACAAAGCACCAGGCATAAGGCCGAGTCTTCCATCCTTTACCAAGTATATAGATGCATTAATTAAATAAGAGATATTGTGATATCCCAAACATAATCATGTCCATCATGGGGCAATCTTCAACTTCACCTGCAACTAACAACGCTATAAGAGGGCTGAGCAAAGCGGTAACATAGCCAGACAATGGTTTGCTAGGAAGGGTGTCAAAGGTTAGAGGTTCATGGCAATTTGGGAGGCTTGAGGAGCAAAAGATAGGTAACGCAACATAGCGATAGAACGAAGCAACTAGCATAGCAATGATAGTAGTGAGATCCAGGGTAGCGGTCATCTTGCCTGAAATCCCGCTAGGAAGAAGAACGAGTCCATGAAGAAGATGAATCCACGAAGACGAACCAAGCATAGACGAACGAATCCTCGCGATCGCAACGAAACGGGAACTATCGAGAAGAAGCACACAACATAGTAAACACACCACACATAGACAAGACATGATGCACATACAAGCATGGTGCATGACAAGACTACCTGAAGCTACTCATGGCAAGAGATGATGCATACAAGAGCAACACATCAAGGCCAGTTTAAATAAGGCCGGAAACAACATATAACAATTCCGGTAAGTCCTCGTATGCAAATTTCGAAGTTGGTTCAGATCTGAATAAACCTTATGTTCAAGTTGTTAAATAGCAAGTTAAAATGCACCATGATGATCTACATGAGATTCTAGTCAAGTTACATATAAAGTACATTTAATTCGGAGCTACGGCCTAGAAGGTATGAGCAAAACAAGTTAACCATGGCATTGATGCAAAACGCATTCAAACATCAAGCAAACACACTCAAAACATGGATGCAACAAGGTAATATGAAACTACACGCAATTCTAAGCAAGTTTCATATAGAGCACACTCAAAACGGAGCAACGGTTCAACACATACACTTCAAACATGATATAACAACCTGTCCAAAACAGCAACTAGGCATATTGCAAGCACCAAAACTACATGCTACAGTGCCACAATATAAAAACAAAAGGCATGGGCATGATATACAGGTAAAGCATTACAAAACATGAACACTGAGCTATCTCCAGAAATCACTAGAACATGCTCAAACACACATGGCAAGACTGCAAATAATAACAGTTCAGACTTTGCAGAAAATAACATCAGGTTGCAATGTTTAGAGCTATCAAACAACATGCTACAGGAACTTATCATGGCAAACAAAGGCATGGCATGAATCTACTAATTGCATAGAACAAAAGTCCCTTACTGACCATGAGCCAAAAAGGATCAGAAAATATGATGGCACCCATGTAAACATGGCAAGTTATATGACAGATTCATACATGGCAGGAACAACGATAAGTAGGCATGTTGGTGAGCTTGTACCACTCACCACAGAGCAATACATGGCATGACAAGGCAACTAACAGTTAGATGTCATATTTATGAAGCTAAACATGGCAAAAGTAAGTTCATAGGGTGCATGGATCACTAGCAAAACACATGGCAACAACTGAACTTAATGTTAACAGGCTGACAGCAACATTATTTAGCAACTTTAAAGCAAGATTACAACAATCTACGGCAAGCTATAATTGCAACCAGTGGCATGGATGGATAGAGAATAACATGTAGAACAAAACGCCCTTAGTAAACATCTCCATATTATGCATAGAATGACTTGTAGCAGCAGGTTTACATAGCATCACGAAATAACAGATTCAGCCTAACAAAACAGTAACAGCAAGTACACTACTTAACAAGCTTGATTCACTCACCACAAGTCATTTCATGACAATATAAGCATAGCATCAGCAATAAGAAATATTTATGGAACAAACCAAGGCAAGAACAAGTTCATAGTATGCAAGGATCAACTACAACAACCTTGGCAAAATTGAATAACATGTAAACAATCTATCAGGAAACATTTTTTTAGCAAACATAGAGCAAGAAAGTGACATGCTAGACTACTCCATAATTGCAAACAGGGGCATGAATGGATAGAGGATAACCATATGTTCAAAACATCCTTACTGAAGTATCTCAAAATATGCTTGGATCTCCCTGTAGCATCAAGTATACATGGCATAAAAATAACAGCAGAACAGGGACTGAAATAAGCAACATCACGAAGCCTAGTTTGCATTCTTGTTCTAGTCACCACATTGATCACAAAAATGTATGGCATACACCCTTGTAAAGATGGCATGATGTAGAACAAAACACATGTAGACATCAACCTCATAAGATGCACACATCAAACATGGCAAAAATGACAAATGAGCATGTTCTGTTAACAGACAGCAGACAACATCATATAGCACTCTTGCAACAATGATTCAGGCATCAAGATGAACTCAAATGAACATGATGCAATGGAATGAAATAAAGTACTCGTTAAGACGAACAATTTGACATATTACACGCACAAAACGGAGCAGTATGCAGCAAGTTATGATGCATTGAATAGGGCATGGAAATGCAAAATATTTCAGGGACTTAGACGAAAATCACCTCCGGATCTGAGGGTTGACCCGGGCGCGGATGACGAGGATAGCCGGGGTTCTCGCCGGAGTAGACGGGGAAGACGCCGGGGAGGGCCGAAGATGGCGGATCCGGGCCGGATCTCGCCGGATCCGGCCGGATCCCGGCGAGGGGAGGCGGAGGAGGCGACGGGAAGGCGACGGGGGCGACGGGGTGGCGCAGCCCCGGCGAGGCGAAACCGGCAGGCGGCGGTGGCGGCCACCGGAGGCGAAGGAGGCGGCTGGAGGCCGCGGGCGCGGGGGTGGCGGGGCCGAGGACGCGACGCACGGCGGCGGCGCTAGATCCGGGCGACGGCGGCGCGGGAAGGCAGGCGGCGGCAAGCTCGCCGCCGAAGGCGCGCCGGCGAGGCGAGGCGCGGAGGCGGCAGAGGATCACGTCGCCGGCGGCGACCTAGGGCAGCGGGGCGCGGGGCGCGGGATCGGGCCCGGGGCGCGGGCGGCGGCCGGCCGGGCCTGCGCGGTCCCGCGACGGGCTCGGGCGGGCCGCGACGGCGGCGAGTGGCGGCGTGCCACGTGGCAGCTGCGGAGTGGACGGGGGAGCGGGGCGGACGTGTCCGGCCGTCACGGACGTGTCCGGTGGCGGCGGGAGGAAGAGGACTAGGGTTTCGCGTGCGAAAATGGACGGGGAGGACTTATTTATAGTTTCTGGGAGCTAGGAGAGTCCAAATGGAGCACGGTTTTCGGCCACGCGATCGTGATCGAATGGCGGAGAGCATGGAGGGGAGTTTACTGGGTTTTTGGCCACTTTGGAGGGGTGTTTGGCTGCAAGACAAAAGAGGCTTTTGCGGCTATCCGGTTAACCGTTGAAGTATCAAACGACCTCCAAATGGCACGAAACTTGACAGGCGGTCTACCGGTGCTATACCAAGACCGCTTGGCAAACATCGGGCCATTCCGAGAAAGTTTAAGACCCACACATGAAAATAAGGTCTGAGAGGGGCGACGAGCGCGCGCGAGAGGTCCGGACTCCGAACGGACAACGGAGAGAACCGGGAGAACCCAAACAAATGCAAGTTTTGGAAAACATGCGGATGAAATGTAGATGATGACATGGAAAAATGCAACACGCAAGCAGATGACATGGCAGGGGCGGCGAATAACTGGCGGACACCTGGCGCATCGAATCCGGGGCGTTACAGTAGGCCACGGAGCGCATTCCTTTTTTATGGGATCTTGTAATTTTGTTTATCCGATGAGATTAATGAAATACTTGCTTCTCATACCATTTTTTTTTGTACTATGTACACTGGCATGCCCGCATACTTTTCTTTTCCCCGGCGCATGAGAGAAAATCAAACTCCCCCTCTTCCCTTCATCCGGAGCGCCTTAAGATTTTCTCGTGTCAAACAAAGTGGTTCTTTGAAAAAAAAGAATTTAGCTATTTGAGAAACGAACCAGCCAAACAAATCTTTACGCGTGGAATGCTTCAAAGGGTCAAATTTTTGTTTCTAAATTGCCTTCACCTTTATCAACTTTACTAAAGTTTTTTTTCTGAATGACCCAGCAAAGCGCTGGTGTCATGATATGGACGCGGCCTGGATGCCCGATGAGCACGGTGCTTCCTATCCAGACCATGGTCTACTATTTCTTTCTCACGTACGTGTACCACCTAACGCCGACAATGCAAACATATCCTTGTTTGAACGGTTCTTGCACCCCCATGGTTGTTTTTATGCCCACTGATTAAACGAAGCTGCTTGTTTTGGAAGTCGACCTCTTGTCATCATTATTAAGACTATATCAGAAACTTGAATATCTATACCCGGTCTGTTTCAAGTTGTTTAATGGTGGTAGACACGACATGGTCGTCTAGTCCTATTTTTTCCTCGATCACGTGTGTCACCTAGAAACACGCAATGTTCTTTTGAACTGTTCTTTCTTCTTGGACCCCATGGATAGCACCTGGCTCCGATGAGATGCTATATATACATACACGCGACAGCAGAGAAGAACATAACACTCTTCTGGAGATCAGACATGGGTTCGAGGATAGCTTTCTCTTGTTGTGCTCTGCTACTGGTCACACTGCTGCCTCTTTCGGCGAATGCGTCGAGCAAAGTAAGTTATGGTTCCTCCTTGTTCGCAAGACTTTAACTTCGGCTTGTACTGAAATTGTTTTTTTGGCCTTTTTGGCATATTAATTTCAGCTCTACATAGTGTACATGGGGGAGAAGAAACATGACGATCCATCTGTTGTGACCGCGTGGCACCATGACATACTAACCTCCGTACTTGGGAGGTACTAGCTAGCTAGTAAACCATATTAGTACCATGCAACAGAAC